TCCAAAAAATTACAGCCAAATTATCGCGTTTAGTTCGTTTTATCAACGACATTCCAACAAATTAGCCGTCTAGTGATCTACAATTTAACTGTCAGCTGTCTAAACGGCTTATTTTTATCCGTCAACCTTCAACGTTTTAATCTCGGCAACTGAGACTGAGCATCTATTTTGGTTGCAGTATCTTTTCGTGCGGTCTGCATTAAAGAGTGTGAAAGGAAAAGAATTAGGATGATAAATGTGACTTCAAGCTGTTTTTAAGTATCCAACATTAGCGAATTAAACAGCTACTGTTTATCAGTAGTTGCGGTACAAATCAGTAGCCAAAATAGAGTAGAGTAGGGTAGTGTTTTGTAGGAAGATCTGTAAGTTAGAACTCAAAAACAGTTAAAAAAAAAAAAAATACGGTACAACTGATGTAAAGCATTTCCCTACATAAGCATGTAACAAACATAACAATCGGTACTTGATGATTAATGAGGTGGTTTCCAGAAAGACATTTAATAGACATAACTAACAAGAGGTGTTACGAAAACTAAGACCCTCAAAAACTAAGACCTAAGACCCATCTTAGTTTTCGAGATTACGAAGACTAAGACCTGCTAAAATCAAATCAGTCGAAATATAAAGTCAGATCGTAACCAAAACAGATCTAATCTGTCAAATCATCTCCTGTCCTATCCTTTCCACCGTGTTTTAGGTCAAATTTAATGGTAAAATGAGACGTCTTAGACTAAGACCCCTCTTAGTTTTCGTGATTACGAAAAGTAAGACCCTCACCGAACCATTCTGTAAACTTTCTACCAAGTTGAATTACGAATGTTCAAAGACTATAATCAGTAAAACAACCAAAAGCCGTAATCATACTTGACGATCAGGTATGCGAACGATTGAAATCCTAGTTTCTACCGCGTGCGCATAAGTTATTTAGCTCTAACACAGGTAAAGCAATCTCGATCGCAAAGACACGAAGGAAAACATCCATCTCCAATGGAAGGCCAATTTTATGATTTAAAGGATAAACAACAAAATTAAAGACCAATAGGGATAAGGCATATTTTTAATGTACGATTATACGTTAGTGTATGGCTTTCATCCTCTTTATAAAGCCACAATGCTGATAATATATGTCTGCAAATTGTTAGAGGAAGCGGATCGTCTTGCACGCGTATATGTGATAGTAGTTTTTCGCTGTTTTACGGATTATAGTCTTTGAACATTCGTAATTCCACCTGATAGAAAGTTCACAGAATGGTTTGATGGGAGTCTTAATTTTCGTGATCAAGAAAACTAAGATGGGGTCTTAGTTTTAGAAAGTAAGAAAACTAAGACCTCTAAATTTACCGTTTAATTTAACCTAAAACTCGGTGGAAAGGATCGGACAGGAGATAATTCGAGAGATTAGACCTGTTTTGGTTACAATTTCGTAATCTCTAAAACTAAGACAAAGTCTTAGGTCTTAGGTCTTAGGGTCTTAGTTTTCGTAAAACCCAACTAACAACTCACAGCATAAAAAGAGTGCTGAAAACATTTCATTCAAAGTAGTGGAATAGTAGAAAACTGAACTAAGACTACTGGCACTGAACGTATCTTAATCACGACAACAAAGATTAGACAATTTGGTAATAATGACAATAAAGGTAAATGATAAGAAACTTACTTTGGTCACAAATTGCAAAGAAGATAGCAGAAAGTTTATAACCCAAGGGTAGTCAAATGGTAGCCTGTAGCGGATTGATCTTCTGATCGTAGCGGTTGCGGGATAAGTAACTATTACGGTTGTTACGAGTGGTCTTTAAAATGCGCGCATACGGATTATGCTTATGGCGTTACCTGAAATATGCGTACTACATTTTTGAAGAGCTATTTCATTTCCTAAACACGAATTTAGCTTTGAGTGAACATGAAACCGCAAATTCCTAACCAATGCTTGCTACAATTGATCACGTTATATTGAAACTAAAGCAACTGATTGCTACTAGAAAATGTCGTAAAGGCAGCGGGGCGTTTCAAAACTAACAGCGTGAATTAAATAAATTGGTCAAACAATCGGTGGCCTTGCTCCTACGTCGACACAAGTCTCGCTGAACATCATTGAGTGCATTATATATCGTGTTTTTCTAAGCGACATAAAAAGTAGTTTAAAAGGGTATGCAAGATTTCTTAGGGTCAACACGAACTGATAACTTAACCGTTATACTTTTTATCGCCAACGCTTATTGCAATAACTTAGTGTATTAGAAGGAATTTTTTTTTTTGCATTTCAGTGTCATAGTCATTTACACAACTGGGGAAAGGGAAGCAACCGTTTTTAGGCCAGTGACGTATTTGCAATGACAACTCTGAGACATTAAACAGTTCGAAATATTAAAAAGTACATTTCATAACAAATCTTATTGTTGACATCGAAACCTATCACAAACCCTGTCCCTAAAGCATGCGCACTTATCACGAACTCGCACCTCTTTGAAGAAAGGTCGGCCCTAAAAAAGTTGTTGCTATCCATTATGAAAATCGTCTTTCGTTGCCGCGGAAGTGGAATGTTGACCGTCCCAACAAAACGTCTGCAGTTTGTTTCGCTTACGCTTACGAATAAAAAGTGAAATTTTAAAATGTATTTAGGACAATATCATCCCCTCTCTTGAGTTCATCTTAAACTGACAGGACTGTTACATCGCTCCTGCCAATTGGAATTACTTACTGAAACAGAAGGGATATACCTCCCTAACAATATTCCTGTTGTTGATGCAACAGACGAAAGGAAATCAAGAATTTGTACACCACTGACGTAATACGCAATGCCTATCTTAAAACTCCTAGAAATAGGAATTAGCCGGACTTCCTATAAACAAGTGTAATTACTTGCCGTCTCCGATTCCGGTGAATGGAGAATGAACGACATTTTCACCATTAAGTCACGTATCTAAATTTGAAGTTGAAGCCTGTCACAAATTCAACCTCAGGGTTACACGCAGCTCTCTCGTAGGCCTTTTAGTGCCGACCACTTTTCAGAGGAAAGATTGGAAAATCTGATACTACGAATGAAATTAAGTTTATTAATATCCTGGCGACATTTTTTTGAGGAGAAAGTTTAATGATACGCACTGAACCACTGGGGTAGTCCTCTTAGACTTTGGAATCTGAAGCGTTTCCAAAGAGTCTTTGTTTGAGGTGTTACACCTTCTTTGTCATGAAAAAACGTAATTACCTCACCGAACAAATTCTACAATGCCGCTCTGAACTTTCCAAAATCTGTCCAGCAGTTGTAGTCAATCTTTCCGCGCCAAAATTCAGGAAACTAATTCCAAACTTTTCAATCATTTGAACTAAATTAAGGCCCTAAAAACTTGACCACCTTGTCGGTTCCCAAATTGCTCACTACTCATCACCAGAAAACTTCAAAACTGTAGTTACCATTACTGAGAATATTTCCCTTTCCGATTCAGAAAAATCCGTTCTAAGTGAGGGCTTAACTTTTGTTCCCATTTCTAAAACAACGGACGAATTCTCAGTTAAACAATACTTAGAAAAATTCCTTCCCCGCGTTGAATTAAAAGCTTTTTTTCGCAGAAGAAAAAGTTCAGTTTTAAGCAGATTACCAGCGCTGGTTCGTTCTCATAGATCACAACAAGTAAGCAATGTAGGTGTTAAATCACTTTAATTTATCACGATAATATTCAATGCTCAAGCATTCCATTTTAATCTCGTGCTGTTTCGAGGTAGCTGTATCAGCGGTCTTCTGTATTACAAGCCAAGAAAATAGGTAGAAGTACACCCAACGCAGTTGAATAAAACTGAAAAGGCTTTAATGAGTTATTTCTTGGCAATTCATACCAAATATTTCTCAGTACAGTCGGTACAAATGGCTTAAGGAGCGATGGATAACTGAATATATGTCTACAGTTTTTGCTGGAGTTCCAGTGATCTTGCAGCTCAAAAACGTTTGCATTTTTCTCAAACAAACTATCCGCTTGACACAGGAGAATCCTCATGTTTTTCATCGCTTATTCCATCGTTTCAAAGAACAACAGCTCGGTTAAAAAAGTATTTTCATCACGCTGACAACTCTGCCTTGAGGAGGTATATTTTCAGATATCGTAAGTTGTTTATTTCCGACAAGTATGAAGACAGGCTCTGCATCATATATATAACTGATAAGACTTAAATGAGTTGTTTCCTAGCGATTATTGCTAATTTTGTAATACATCGAGATCATTGCACGATGACGATTTCACAATTCAATAGATTTTATCCAAGGAGAGAAGTTTATCGTTATATTTTATAATATATTTCAGGGTAATTTCCACCATAACTTACCCCTACCTTGTATTAAAACTATCTCAATCATATATGATAAAACTGAGATAGATAGAGATAGATAGTTTATTACCAAATAAAATACATTGCAGCCATAGGCTGAATTGCGTGCTTTTCACAATTTTTGATTATATAGGGCTAACGCTCGAAACGTCATCTTTTGTAATCGTTACGGTGGCCAATTTACCATTTCAACTTTGTTGATATATCCAAATTATTTCGTTACTCCCACCGACGCAGCCCCAAACAGTTTCTTTCGAAACTATCAGCCTTTATGATTCGCAATAGGGTTAGTTTACAGGTTTTCGAAATATAAAATATTTTAATCGTCCGTGCCGTAAACTGCTAATACAAGAGCAATATTTAATAATGAAAGGGAATAATTATATGAATCCTCTAGGGTACCAATCGACTCCAAATTGTTATCACAAAGATCCCCTGAGAAACACAGATAAAAATAAGCAAACTGGCTGAAACGCGGAAAAAAGCAAGGGACGAAGTCCCAATGTTTTAGTGTTGTATCTGATTGTTTGAGAGAATGGTACAAATCTCATGGACCAATCACGGAGTAGGGTGCAGCAAGAGCAAGCAAACCCGGTTTACATTCAAGATAAAGTTGAAAATTGCGTTAAAAGCGCGGAGAGTTAATGAATAAAGAGGGGCCTGGGAAAGAGGTTAACTGAAAGCTCGGCTCCAGTCCTGCACTCAGTCAAGTACCTTTGTAACTGACTTTTCCATCGCTGTCCGTATCAGCCTCCTTGATCATGTCATCGATTTCTTTCTTTGAGTAGGTTTTGCCACCAAACGTTTTCATCACCAGTCCCAGTTCGTCACTAGTTATGAAACCATCTTCATTTGTATCAAACTTCTTGAAGTAGTACTTGAGGTCATCACCCGTCATCGGTTCTCCAATTTGGCTGGCCATCATGTCTTCAAACTCACTATATTCTACTTTACCATTGCCTAGAAGAGAAATGGAAAACAAGATTAAACCGTCACAGAAGGACCGCTGACCGCTAACATAACTTGTAATGGCGCGGTATCGAACACGTAAAATCCACCTCAATACAGTTGAGGAAAGTTAACACATTACTACTGAGATCGTAATATTCTGCAATAGGACAATAGTGTTATCCCAGTTTTTACACATTTATACACGTTTCTTCCTCCTTCCTTTTTAAAATTAGGGAGAGAGCGATTTTGTACCATTGCGATCCACTGCTTTGATCATATCTTTAATATCCTCGATTTGCATCTCCTGTCCAGCTTGCTTCATAGCTTCACCTAACTCCTCCACCGAGATATGCCCATCACCGTTTTTGTCGAACAGCTTAAAAGCTGCCGTTATTTCTAGAAAGAAAGAAAGGTCAAGTAACATTACGAAATTTGCCAGGAGAGATAGGTTATCTTAAAGAGTGTATTGTCGACCAATAGATGGGATGGTAACACTAATTCTGGGTCGAGTCACCACTTAGAAGCTTTTAGCCGTATCTTTTTATCTCAGTTTACCAA